TATTTATTTAGGCCCAATGATAGCAGACTCTAGAATTATTTGGGTGCGTCTAGATAAAAATTGTAAGAGTCTTTTCTAGAATATGGAGTGTCTATATTTAAGTGTGTCTAGAGATGTGTGAGAGACTTTTCTAGAAGTAGAATGGAATGAAAAATTTAGTTCCAAAGCTTCCTCTATATTCTTTGTTTGTTTAATTAATCAAAGTTCAAGCCTAATCTAAGGCCAACAGAGTGGTATCAGAGCTTGGTTTGACAACAACAATTGGGCGTGAAGATTTAGTTTGGGAAAACAAACCCCGATGCCGAAGAAAATGGCGGGTTCAAGTAATCAAAGTTTTGGAATTCAACCACCTCTGTTTTCACAATTTGACGGTGAGAATTATTATTTTTGGTGTGTGAAAATGAAGACCCAACTTATCTCAAATGATTTGTGGGAGTATGTTGAAGATGGGTATGATGACCCTAAAGATGTCGATTCTTTGACGGATGCTCAAAAGTAAGTATTGAAAGCACATAAAAGGAAGGATGGAAGAGCTCTCTCAATGATTCAACAAGGAGTTTCAGACAAGATTTTTCCAAGGATCATCAACGAGATCAAGGCAAATGATGCTTGGGCTATTCTTCAAAAGGAGTATCAGGGCAACTTGAAGTAAGAGCAATTAAACTTCAATCTTTGGGAAGAGTTTTTGAAATATGAAAATGAAAGATGGTGAAGTATTGCAAGATTATTTTTCTAGATTGATGGAAGTTATGAACCAAATGAAAATACATGAGGATAATATAACTAATAAAAGAATTGTGGGAAAAATTTTAATTACGTTGACGACGGACTATAACCTCATTGTTGCAGTTCTTGAAAATACTAAGGACATTGAAACCTTGAGTGCTGAAGAATTGATGGGTTCAATTAAAGCATTTGAGTAAAGATTGAGTAAGCAAACGGAGAAGTCACTTGAAAGTGCTGTTCAATCTAAGCTCAATGTTAGTGGTTCTAAAACTCAAGGAAGCTCTTGGAATTTTAATCAATCGGAAGGTAGAAAAGGAAAAGGTAAATTTGATAATGCAAAAGGTGGAGGAAATAATAATTTTCACAAGAAGAATTTTCAAAAACAAGGAAATGAAGTGTCCACCCAAAGAAAGTGTAAAATTTGTAACCGAAGTAGTCATGTGGAGAAAGATTGTTGGTTTAAGGGGAAGCCACAATGTTATAATTGCAAGAAATTTGGGCATGTAAAGAAGGATTGTAGAGTAACCAACCCACAAGCTAATTTTACCAAAAAATAATAAGTTGATGGGAACATGCTTTATGTGTGCCACAATGCTTTGGAGAAAAAATGCGATGTTTGGTTTGTTGATAGTGGTTGTAGTAACCACATGATCGGTGATGAAAGCATTTTTGCCAACCTTGATGCTTCCTCAAATTCGCAAGTCAAAATGGGTAACGGTGCCTTAGTCCAAGCAAAAGGAAAGTGTACTATTGCGGTGGAGACCAAAAAAGGAACAAGATACATAAGGGATGTTTTGCTAGTTCCGGACTTGGAGCAAAATTTGTTGAGTGTTGGTCAAATGGTGGAGCATGGACATGTGGTTCACTTTGAAGATGATACTTGTAAGATTTATGAAAAATGGGGGAGCAAGCAAATGGTGGCAACAATCAAGATGGACAAAAACAAAAGCTTTCCTCTCACTTTGAAGTATGCAATAAATATTGCTTTGAAGATGAATGTTGTGGATGAGACTTGACTTTGGCATACGAGATTTGACCACTTGAATTTTCAAAGTTTGAAGTATCTACAACAAAAGGGCATGGTGCATGGGTTGCCGATGATTTAAGAAGTCAAAGAAGTTTGTGAAGGTTGTGCTCTTGGAAAACATCGGGAGGCATTTCCAAAAGACAAGGCATGGAGAGCTACCGATGTGTGCGGACCTATTTACACAACTACTCATGGAGGTAACAAGTATTTCATTACTTTCATTGATGATTTTTCTAGAATGATATGAGTTTACTTTATGAGACAAAAATCGGATGTGTTTAATATTTTTTGAAAATTTTAAAGTCTTGTTGAAAGGAAAAGTGGCCACCTTATGAAGGTGTTAAGAAGTGATAGAGGTGGTGAGTATAACTCTAATGAATTTATGAAGTTATGTGAAGATATTGGGATGAAAAGACAATTGACCGTTGGGTATACTCCACAACAAAATGGAGTGGTGGAGAGAAAAAATAGAACAATTGAAGAAATGTCTAAATCAATACTTTATGAAAAGGGTTTGCCCAAAATTTTTTGGGGCGAGGCCGTTAACACGGCGGTTTACTTGTTGAATAGATGTCCAACAAAAGCCCTTTCAAACAAAACTCCATTTGAAGCTTGGAGTAAAAGAAAACCCTTGGTTAATCACTTGAAAGTGTTTGAGTGTATTTGTTATGCACACGTTCCCAAAGACAATAGGCATAAACTTGATGAAATTAGTGAAAAATGTATCTTTGTGGGCTATAGCACTCAATCAAAAGGCTATAGGCTCTACAATTTGAAGAAAGATAAGTTGATCATTTCAAGAGACGTCATATTTGATGAAAAAGTCTCTTGGGATTGGAAAGAAAAGAAGGTGCAAAATCATTTTTTTCCTACTTATGAAGAGGTGGGGAATGAAGAAAGTGATGACGAGGATCTTGATGTTCCAAATCAAATGTCTCCTATTGCTAGTCCACAATCAACTCCATCAAGCTCAAGTTCTTTGTCTCCAAGTTCAACTCCAAGAAAAATGAAAAGTCTTAGTGATGTGTATGCAAGATGCAACTTTTGTGTGGTTGAATAGGAGAACTTTGAAGAAGCAATTAAATTAGAAGTTTTGAAAAAAGCAATGCAAAAGGAGATTCGGGTGATTGAAAAGAACAAGACATGGGAGTTGGTGGAGATACCCAAAGAAAAAGAAGTGATTGGTGTGGAGTGGATTTACAAAACAAAGCCTAATCTGGATGGATCAATTCAAAAGAACAAAGCAAGACTTGTTGCAAAGGGGTATTCTCAACAACCGGGTGTTGATTATCAAGAAACATTTGCACCGGTGGCTCGACTTGACACAATTAGAGCACTTATTGCTTTGGCGGCTCAAAAGGGATGGTTCTTGTACCAACTTGATGTGAAGTCCGCATTCTTAAATGGAGACTTGGTGGAAGAGGTGTATGTGGATCAACCTCAAGGCTTTGTTGTCAAAGGAAAAGAAGATAAAGTTTACAAGTTGAAGAAGATGTTATATGGGTTGAAACAAGCACCCCGAGTATGGTATAGCGAGATCGATTCCTACTTCAACAATAAAGGCCTTTCAAAGGAGCCAAAGTGACCCAACCTTGTATGTCAAAAAACAAGGTAACACCGGTATTCTTATTGTTTCTCTTTATGCTGATGATCTTGTTTTTACTGGAAACAATGAAAAGATGCTTGAAGAATTTAAAAAAGACATGATGAAAAAATATGAGATGAGTGATTTGGGTTTGTTGCATTACTTCTTGGGATTTGAAGTTTTTCAAAATGAAGATGGTGTTTTATTTCCCAAATGAAGTATGCAAAAACTATCCTTGAAAAGTTTAAAATAGTGAATTGCAAGTCGGTTGCTACACCTTTGGTGGTGAATGAAAAGTTGACAAAAGAAGATGGAAGTAAAGATGTTGATGCTTCTCTTTATAGGAGTTTGGTTAGAAGTTTGTTATATTTGATGGCTACAAAGCCAGACATTATGTTTGCTACAAGTTTATTATGTCGGTTTATGCATAGTTCAAACCAAACTCATTTTGGGGCGGCAAAAAGAATTTTGAGATACATCAAAGGTACCCTTGATTATGGGATTTTGTTTGAGAAAAATGTGGATGCAAAGTTGATTGCATTTTGTGATAGTGATTGGGCCGGGTGTGTAGATGATATGAAGAGCACTTCCGGTTATGTATTTTCACTTGGCTCGGGTGTCTTTTCATGAACATCTAATAAGCAACAAATGGTAGCACAATCATCTGCCGAGGCCGAATATATTTCGGCATCATTGGTGACATCACAAGCAATATGGCTAAGGAGAATCTTGGAAGATGTTGGTGAGAAACAAGGAAATCCTACTTCAATTTTGTGTGATAACAAGTCTGCGATAGCAATGACAAAGAATCCCGTCTACCATAACCGTATCAAACACATTGCAATCAAGCACCACTTTATTTGGGAGGCCGTAGTGGATGATGAGATTCAACTCAAGTATTGCAAGACGGAGGATCAAGTAGCAGATATTTTCACCAAAGCACTTCCGAGGGACAAGTTTCAATATTTTCGGGAAATGTTGGGTGTCACACAACAAAGCATTAAGGGGGAGTGTTAAAGTTAATACTTTGTTGTGTTATTTTGCATTTGGACTAAAAATGTTATGATTGTAATTGAGTCATAAAATATTAGTATGTGTTTTGGTCATGTTTTGTTGTATTTATTTAGGCCCAATGATAGAAGACTCTAGAATTATTTGGGTGTGTCTAGACAAAGATTGTAAGAGTCTTTTCTAGAATATGGAGTGTCTATATTTAAGTGTCTAGAGATGTGTGAGAGACTTTTCTAGAATATATGAGTGTCCATATAAAGTTTGTAAGAGACTTTTCTAGAAGTAGAATGGAATGAAAAATTTAGTTCCAAAACTTTCTTTATATTCCTTGTTTGTTTAATTAATCAAGGTTCAAGCCTAATCTAAGGCCAACAGAGTATACATTATTTTATCTAATTTATTTTTGAAAATTATGAATTTGAATATTTTAATAGTATAAGCATAATCCACTTTGTTGGCATGAGTTTCTATGACTAGAGTTTGGCCCCCCCAATAATAAATCTTGGTTCTGTCGCTGCTCTTGAATCCAACTTGTGACATTTATGGGTAGTGAGTTTGTTTAGAAGCTATATGTCGTCTTCTTAGATGATGTTGGGAGTTGGGACACACCTTCTTACACTATTAATGGTTGTGACTATGTGTGTCTTCTCTATGATGTTTTCAGATGCTTATGCAGACAGAACCGTTGGAGAGAAAAAACCTAGGACTTCAGTGGATGAGGGGCCTTCTATGACAGAATTAAGTGGCTATAATTCTAAGAGGCGGGAGTTTGAAATTGAATATGATAATGATGCCGAGCAATTACTGGCAGACATGGAATTTAAGGATACAGACACTGATGCTGAACATGGACTGAAATTGCTAGTCTTGCGAATATACTCAAAAAGGTAATCAGTTCATTCAGTTGTAGTTTCCTTTTCCTATTCCTTTTCTTCCCGTTACTTTTATATGTGCGAAATCATGATATAGCTGAGGCTATCAAAGGGTCCATGTTTACAATTTGTAGATAGGTGGTGGGATGAAACAATCTAATGGTCTGCCATCTGGTTGACAGGACTGGTGTTTAAGGGGAAATTCACTCCCAAGCCGTGGTTGGAGATTCTTATTTTAGTCCCTGGGATATCAGCCCCTAATATAAGAGTTTGAACACAAATTTTATGATTGCTACAATTTCAAGGCAGTCCAGAACAAATATGCCTTTAGTTGAAAATCTTTGATTACCTTTTATGTTAACTACATGCAGATGTTGATTGTCCAACTCTTTAAATTCATCTCTATAATATATAATGCAGGGCCTGTTTACTGTATATTAATGCAAGTCATGCCACGTGCTCGCCTCTCGGCCAGAGGGTTTGGTACTGGACTACTGATTTGCTAGAGTTCCCATACTACCTTCATGTGTTTCTCTGATTCTCTTATTAGGTCACTTTTAAGAGCAATACTTAATGAACTTAAAAAGTAGTTTTAAAAATTAGACTTGATAATTTCAATCATTGATTTTACTATGAGTCCCAGTATTTATTGAGACCCACTGCCTATTCAATGGTTGAAATTATCAAGTCTAGTTTTTAAGTCTATCTAGCATTACTCCACTTTTAAATGATAGAGGCTTGCCACATAAGATTATCATGTGTCTTTTTTGTCCTGTTTAAGATTGAAATCCTGTAAATCATCTGTAAGGATGGAAACCTATTCACGTTAGCTTTAAGAGGGATATATCACATAGTAGGTCGCAAGGAGGAATTTGTGAATGCATATTTCCATGCACATAGTAGTCAATGTGTATGCACTCTAATGGCTTCAATGTCTTAAGTTTGTCAATCTTGCACCAGCTGTCTTTGCAATTGGAAAAGCATTTTGTATTTTACAATAGTATGATGGTTGGAGCTCGTAGAAATTCAGATATTCTGTTTTCTTTCTCTGTATTGTTGGGTGGGTTTGGGAGGTGGTCTCAGGTTTATGTGGGTCAACCCATTTTGTAGGATCTTATGATTTCTTATGATTGAAGAATTGTCAAATGAGTATGTGTTGAACATTCATATGTTGATAAGGTTCACAAACTGCGCCATATCTGGACCTTCTGGTGACCATATATTGAATACTGGAAGTATATGTCATGCTGTTCACATCCAATCATTTTCTTTCATTTTACCTACGTGTCAAACATATTGGGAATTTTTGGCAGGCTTGATGAGAGGAAACCGCGGAAGGATTTTATACTGGAAAGAAATTTACTTCATCCTGACCCTTTAGAGAAAGCCCTCTCACCAGAAGAGAAAGAAAAATGTTAGCAGTACAGGGTGTTCATGCGCATATCGTGATTTATTCTGAAATTTATGGTACTATCACTTATGGTAAAAATATATTTATAAGACTACAATTCTGAAATTTCATTTGAAATAAAAATGATTTTTTTAATAATTTATGAAGGTCTGGCAAGTTTATCTACCTAGAATTTTAATGCTGGTGTCTGCCCTGCCTTGCTCGTATACATGTTATTCATTTGTACTATGTTACCTGTTCCTACCGTATTAGGCCAAATATTTGTCTTTGTACTACTACTCAGAAGTTTCCTTCCTGTGTGTTTTCCATGTTCTCTCAGTAATTTAACGCCATGAATGTACGATTTCTTGAAAAGAAAAAAAATTATATTTGTGCCTTTTGAATATTGTTTTTTTTTCTTATTTGTCATATTCGCCTGACTGACGTACTTTAGTGATCTCTTTTTTTGGTTCTTTCCTTGCTTATAATATAATTGCTGAATTTCACGAATTCTGGTCATACTGGAATTACAGCCTTAATGTGGAGTTAGAACTGGTTGGGTTTCCTAGTAGTCTACATGTTAGTGTCACCTGGTTGGGTTTCCTAGTAGTCTTCATGTAGGTGGTAACACTAGTTTGAATAAGAGGACCAAAATTTGTTGTTCACAAATGGATGAATAAACTTTTGGTCATGATTTCTTTCTTTGAAAAAATTCCTTGGGACTGACCTAAGCACTTTTAGTTGTATGATTGTTTTGACTTATTGAGGTACTTGTCGTGATTTTCTTTTTTGGTCAAACAATGGTGTCTATCGTCTGTTGGTGGACGTCGTTTCTTATATTGGGTGGGATCCAAAAAATTGTCTTACAAATGTATACTACGTTTTTATTGTGTATATATATATTGTTTGTCCCGTAGCTAGTATATCGATAACCATAATTTTGAAGGATGCTCGAGCTGCTGGCTGCTGTACATCTGCTGAGGCTGAAAGATTTATTGAGCAGAAGAGAAAGATGGAAGCTGAAGAAACAGCCCGTGGAGTGAAGGAGAGTTGCCAGGCTGGTCTGAGTGGTAAATTCCTCCAAAGGGCAAATAATCTCAAAGGAGAACTTGATAGCAGTGCTCAGGGAGGTGTCACAGATATAGATTCTGGTGGCAAGGACTCTTCTTCAACAACTGCAGGACTAGCTATTTCAAACACCTTAAACAATTGGGATGTAACGGTTTTTGTGGGGGCTAATTTACTCTCTGAAGCTGTAAGAATGCTGCTTGCACTTTCTATGTCTATAACCTATAAAAGTTGTTTGCTCCTTTGGGACTCCGATACAATGCTTTTCTGGGTAATTATTGGATATTATAGTGGTCTAGGCCCCAATAGACAATGTCACGAATGAGCAAAGTGTCTTTATGACCGGTTTAACTCCAATATGATGTTTGTGGATGGGAGTAGGGTTCCAATAATGATACCATAAATAACTTTTGGAAGCAAAGTGTTTTTTTTTGAAGTTTTTGTCTAAGTTAGGACAGATTAAAGTTCAATTGCATTTTTGGGGTTGTGGGGTAGAAAGATGAAACCATATCTAGTAGATGTTCTGTTTCTGTACTATTGTTGATTCCTATTCATATTAATCATCGATAGTGTGTTGTGGTTTGTACGAGCAGGAAAAACAGCTGTGTGGCGAAATCAAGATCCTACCAACACATTATCTGAGTCTATTGGAAGCCATGTCAATGGGGATTTTAAAGGGCAATATTACCAATAAATCCGAGGCGCATGGCATGTTCAACCTTGATCCAAACAAGGTGGATAGAGTATATGATATGCTTGTGAAAAAGGGTATCACTCAAGCGTGGCATGCAGCCAGCCTGCAACTTTGTTCGAGAGCTAATGAGTTGTGGATTCTAGAAAGGTAAATAGCGCCCTTGTGGTCATGAACTCTGTAAAAATTTTGTACTCAGCAATTAATATAGTGTAGTGACCTTCAACAAGACCGAAGATTTGTTGTGGAAGTAGAGAAAGTATTCATTGCAATGGTGATGTTATGCCTTTATTAACACGTGATATCACTAGCCAATCATAATGCCAAATATCTTATTTAATCCAATGTGATAGTAATTGAATAGGGTGGTGATTAGAACAGTGAGTCACTAGGTGATATTATTCATCCTTATCCCAAGGGGGGATTAAATCTTGGACAAATTGGTGCCTTAGGTGTAACCAATAAGGAGTGGGAGTTCCAATAATCATAGTATAGTAAAAGCAAAAGGTGAAGCTTTTTGTTTTTGGGTAAGCACAAAATGTGGAGTTAGATGATTAACAAACTGAGCATATTATTTAATAATAGTTTTGAGTGTTATGTTACCACTTACTTCATGTCATTTTTTTCGACTGTTGGGTACCTTTTTTGAATTAGATTTTTTTGTATATTGTAAGTATTTTTTTTTTGTTAAGAGAAAAGGAAGTGGGGGGCGACCAGTAATTAGTAATCCCTCCTGACCATGATTATGAGTGTTTTTCCTTGTGGAATATTTGATTTGAGCATAATTATTAATTCAAAAAAGTAATTTGTCATTATAACACTACCAAAGTCGAACAATACCACAAAAAATGGAAGTACTCTGGCCTCTGTCATGTTTCCTCATCGTACATTTATCAGAAATGGGTCTACCTTGTCTCATCCAATTAGATCATGGATGACTCCCAATTGGCTTTCTTGCAGCCTCAACAGATTGCCAAATAATGCGAGATTTAGTTTGAATGCTTGTATGGGAGCAGTTTATTTGATGGATAATCTATTTTGGCATACCTCATGATGACCATGGATTTTTGTCTGGACCTCTTCCAAAGCTTAAAACCCTTTGGGTTCATTTAAAACGACCTAAACGCCTTGTCCAGCGTTCATTGGGCTTGAGCTGGACCGTGGCTTAGCCCCATAGAAGTTTGCAACAAACCAACTCAGAATAGGTGCAGTTTGATATCGGCGAGCTAGGTATAGATATCGGTTCAGGAATTGGGAGCATGACACCAAGTTATTCACCAAAAGTTGTATCGCGACACGTGGACATGGGACAATACTTAATAACCCTAACAAATGAATACCCGTCGGTAGTGGAGATGACTCACATATCCCACTCGAGGCATAGTGGGTGCAGGAAAGCGTTAGGAATGACAGACTTAGCAACTTGACTAATGACAGGAGACCACAGAATCAGTCAAAAAAAGAATTACCATGAAACCCTAACAACGCGATGTATAATAGCTAACGACACTACAAAGAAGGGGGGACTTTGTCGAAACCTAGGCAATATTCTATAAAAGGCTCACAACCAAATACCTTGTAACAAAAATCTTCTTCCCTAAGTAGTACAATTCCTAAAGAGTAAGAGCCTACAATATTACAATGGACGTAACCTTAGTCCTTTGGTTAGTGTGAACCAGTCATTTTGTTGTTTTCATCTTGCATTTAACGCTTAACACATTTTCCATCACACACACATTCATGTACTCTAAGGGCCATACCCCAGACTATTTTATAGTTGGATCTAGCTGATGTCGAGCACCATCACCTCAAAATGAGAAATATAGCTAGATGTAGGAACCTTGAACTGAATCACAGGTACACCCTGCTTTGGTGTTGTGGTGCTCTGTTTTTGCCCTTGTTATTTTCTCTTAGTTGTAATGTTTATCTCGGTAGTTGCGTGGTGTTTTATGATTGTGATATGCAGTAGAATGGTTGTGTTATTCTTGGGTGGGAATGATGATCAAACTAGGTCAATAAGGTCATGGTTTGAAAATGTAACTGTTCTTTTATTCTGATATGAATTGTGGCAAAAAAAAAAAAACAACTCATTGTGATTTTCATGCGATTGTAGCAGTTATATTGTGGCTTACTTTCGAAATTTTCACTTTTAGAGAGTTACCCTTCCAATCCCTTGATGAATTTGAAATGAAGGATTGCAAGGAGTAGAGTACCAGGGTTTCCCACTTCTTTGTGGCACTGCACTCCATATCCTAGCTGTAAAAGGGCAATCAAAAAAGATATGCTTGTAGCTCTCTTCTCCATTCCTGCAAAAAAACTCAAGCAGTGTCCAAGTGCTGGATATAAGCCTTATGATGTACTTAGTTTCTTTCATTATTAATAAACTTGTACAAACTCAGTTTAACTGCTCCAATATTTGATGTTGTTCCATATACGAAACGGTTTTATATTTATGTCCTTCACAACTGACCGTCTTTGAGACTTCTTCGATGCCCTAGAACTAATGAAAGTTCCTGTATAACTCTCTACAAACTAAGGTTCGATGTAGAGTTCATCATAAGCAAGTGTTATACTTTATCATGAATCTATCTTCATTTGACAAGAAGTTAATTATCTTCTACATTTTTATCCAAATAACTTTTCATCAAGTTGTGAAACACATGTACATCCGCAAGGCTAGAATATATGTATCAAATATGAATATGCATTAGATATCGCTTGATAAGTATCAAATCGATGAAGCCAAATACATCTCAAATATTATGAAAATATTTTTTACATCTTCAGGATATGTCGATTATAAATGATTGGCACATTTCAGATATGCAGGGATACATTGAAACTAGATATAATATTATTTAAAGAATAGGTCATTGAAGTAACTCAAATAAGTTTTTTGGTAAAATAAAAATATGGAGTTTTTTTATGCAAGAGGAATATAATTTTGATCTCCAAACAACTAATCTATTCAGAGCTTTGTTTATTGAACAAGAGCCATTTGTAACATATTAGTGGCCTCCAACCTAAAATTTTACCCATTTAGGGTTGGTTTGATTAGAAAGAAAATAATGATAGAAAGTGAAAGTGATAGAAAGTAAAGTAAAAAAAAAAAGAAAAAGAAAAATAAATATATTTTCTTTCATGTATTTGGTTAGCATAAAATATGTACAAGAAATTTTACAAAAATTTTCTTTCTATAGTTTGAAAAGTAGGAAAGTTACACGAAAATTTGTTTAAATATAAATATTATTCTTATCTATATTAGAGAGATTTATATCCTATAGATAATAACCAACGTGAGAGAAAACATGGGCAAAGTGGGAAACTAGATATGTCTACTCAATTTTTTTGAGAAAAAAATTATTTCCCTACACAATTTGCAAAAAACAAGAACTGCATGTTATTATAAAATTTTGTATACTCAAGAATTTAGTTTTTAACAATTTCTAGTATTATCATGTTAGACAAACAGTAAAAAATTAGAATTTTTGGTCATATATTTGACGTTTTGGAAGAGTTTTCCATTATAATGCCTGAAAAAAATTTAATATCGATATTACAAAAAAACATAGTCAAAAATAATAAACATTAACACAAACAAAACTATTATATGGAAGATTTGATTTTTATACAAGGGTAATGTTATGTTTCAAATGTTTCACCTCTGAGCATGATTTATTAGCTTCACACTTTCAAAATTGCAAAATTTCATTACAACATGGATAGAAATTTGTGTCTCTTTGTCTACCTAAATAGTGTGATTTTGTTCCACTTACTCTAACATACATCAATTAATTTTGGGACAATACTAAACCAATACAAGTCGTTAAGATGAATAACGTGAGAAACTCAATGGTGAAATGTTTGAAAGTGAGATCAGACTCTAGGTAAAAAAGGCAAAGTATAATTACCCTCCAAAAAAATGAAAGTGACCCACATGAAATGTTGTTCTTGTCCATATGCATAGATTAGTTTCTGCATGCAACAAAATAGGTCCCTTTTGCCTTCTTAATCGTTGGAATCACTCCACATCCAACTCTAAGTCAAGTCATCCCTGTGATATAATGTCTTTCTCAAGCCAAAAAATTGCAATGATCCTGACAATTTGCTTGATAGAATTTTCATTACAAATAATATAGGAGGGACCATTGAAGCTCTGAATGACAAGTTTTTGTTACCATGCAGAAAAGATAAGGAAATATGACTGCTATGGTCTTCTAATCTATTAATGGGCCATGTCGTGTTGGGTTTGTGTCATGTCAAAACATTTAACTCATTCGAGTTAGCGTTGTATTGAATTTTTTGTGCCTTATATAAACCAAGTTTAGTAGGTGTACGCCATACTTATTCGAGCTCATGTCGATTCATTTATTTTAATTATCTGACGGATCTACCCGTTTAATACCCAAAAAATTGTAAAGGTTAAACCCAAATCCATCAATTTTGCAGATCGTATCTAAAATTATCGAGCTAACTTTAAACCATAGAAATGGAAGATGAATTCATCTGATGCAATTTTTTTCTTCCAAAATAAGTAATTTCTTTGGCAATACTAATGGCTCAAAGGCATTCTTAGGAGCCACAAATGTTCTTGTCAAACAAACTTCCAGATGTGGTAGACAAAATTGATGTAATGATGAAATTTAATAGAAAGACTTAATTGAGACGAAATTGATAATTGAGACAATTAAAAGTTCGGGAATTAAATTAAAATCAAAGACAAAGCTTGGGAATCAATTATGATTTTTACTCAAAAAACACCCTTAACATCCAACTTGGAGATTAAATCAACTTTTTGGAATTGGACCTTAATACTATGAGCGTAATTTTCGTCGGCCATCTTTATTGAAGTTTTTTTTTTTTTGGCTCTGACATTATTTTTAAGGGAGCGGACGACGAGATTCGAACCCACAGCCTTAAGGTCCAACAATAAAAATAGTGATCATTAGGTCAATCGTTAATGCTGATCTTCTTCCCCATCTAGACGTTTGTGTGACAAGAACATTTGTGGTCCAGATAAGGACTTTTGAGCCAAAACTATAAAATGAAGTAGATTCTATTCATTGGTGTTGACAGAAGTAGCATCTGAAGATGGGCTTTCCCACTTATTCATTGGTCTAACAAACTAAGGGTCCGTTTGGTAACTTTCTACTT